TCCAACGATTTAGATCAATTAACTGAATAGCTATAATAGTTACTAACAAATAGGTATACAGCACCGAAGAGTTCTCTCCTGACACGACGAAATCTCATATTCACTTATAACAAGTATACTCTCAATGTAATGAAATTGGAACAATTGAACACATTCTCCTAGAATGCCGCAAAAACAAAACCAACCTCAGATATCAACTCTCCCACCACATTAAATTCCCCGCAACCCTCGTTAAAATATTACAAAACCCTGAACCCATAGTCTACAAAAAATAGCAATCTTCCTCTCGCACAACAAAATCCAACTGTAAACCTATCCCTTTCTCATTCTTTTTCTCATCTTCTCTCTCCTATTTCCTAGAATCTGGATACTTAAGTATATATGTTTTCCACGGCTCTATCCTAGGTTAGCAATATAAGTCGTTCCAGTTGAGCCCCTGTGAACGTGAAAATAACCAGGCTTTCACCTAACCATCACAAAACCCCAATACAAGACAATCTATATCATCTCATAAAACCTCATTACTATCCCTTTATCTCCTACAGAATACTAACATAAATCCCTAGACCTATTATGATGCCTACCTTTACCCTTTCATCCCAGCTTTAATTAAAACCTAAATTTCTTTCCAACTTCGGATCCCTTCCAAGGCCGCAGTATCCCCCAGATATAAAGCCTAAAACAACATTAAAAAAAAAAAAAAAAAAAAAAAAAAAAAAAAAAAAAACTCACAATAGGTGGTATTTATTTCTTGTAGTCGGAACTGTACTCAAAGCTGCCAATCTCGGAAACTCATATTTAAAACAAGGACACTCTCAGTAGGTAGTACTTTTATCATACAGCCGGAGAGCTGAATCCGAAGTCGCCAATCTATCATTCGGCGACGTGAGGGGCTGCGCCGATTCTAGGAGGATCACTAATTTCAGACGTATTAAAGAGAGCGGAAAGAGTGATGAGCGGCGGCAGAAGGGGGGGAGAGAAAGAACGCTCCTAGGCAAGAGTAGTGAAAAGTTCCTGGACACTTTTCGAGGAAACGTTTGGAGAGGAAAGGGTGAGGGCGTACCTGAGAGATGGATTGATAATGAAACGATTCGGTAGACTATCAAAGGGAAAAACCCAAGTGTCGAAAAACAAGAGTGAGACAATCGGAATGAAATGAGCTGAAATCGCTCGCTCGGGCCTGAATCCCGAGAAAAAGGTTCCTTATCTACCTACTAGACCGCCAGCAGACTGTCAGACATCCGGTGGGGTGTCTCGCACGCCGAGTCGCCACAAATTCGGATTCCTTGCCGTTTCCCTCGTGTCCACGTCGGCAGATCAATCGAAAACATTTTGATACCGCTCACAATGTCATTCGAATCTGGCGGGAACCTTACTTTGGACAATACGAAAAGAGAGGGTTTGCGATGCTCAAAAATATCCGATGATGGTTTTTCAAAGTACCAACGAGAAAACTGACGAATATTCTTTCTTCGTTATTTTAGTGAGAGGTATTGCCACAGGTAAACGTGCTTCCCTGAAATTTTTTTTTGACGAACGGTGATTTTGGAAATGCGGGATGGTCCAAAAGACAATTAACTTGATACAATTTACATGCAACTTTCATCACTGGAAATGAATGACACGTTTTAATTTTCGAATTTCACCTCGAACTATGCCTTGGAGAAATAAATTATTTTGCAGGGACCTGGAGAAAACTAGTTTCTTCAGACAGAAAACCTCTTCTGAGAAAAGAGGGGGGGAATTTATGAACTAGGCACCGATCAATGAAAATTGCTCAAACATTTTTCATACAATTTTCCTCACACCAAGAATGATAAGTCAATAAATTGCGCAGAAGTAGAGCAAGAAAATACCCCATAACATTGCCGCATTTGCATAGTGCCTATGAGTCAATTTTGAGACCTTGAATGATAACTGTTGCTTCGGCTGCCTCACGACTGCGTAAAATGAATTTTCGATCGGAAAGTGGAAAAAAGACACACATCAGGAAGAGAAGAATAGTTGAGAAGAGGAAATTTAGCAGTGATAAAACGTTGAGACTAAAAAATCCTGGAAAAAAGCGATCAATTTGAAAAGGGGCACAGTTTAATTAGGTATTTTAGAAATCTTTCCTACAGCATACAAACTGACTTTATTTTAGCAGCTCTTGCGACGATCAAGGGGTAAACTCAAGATTTGATGAAGAATATTTCCGTTTTATATCTCGATACATTACATGCACCAAAACTAAACAGTAAGAGAAGGTCTCTCTTGAGAAAATTGGTTCGGTGGACATGGAATGCGCCATTTTTCAAATTGGTCGTTCAAGCACGTTGAAAGTACATTATAGAGAAGGTAATCACATCATGAATGGGCAGAATTTAAATCAGAAATAGATACAGTATCTCAAACCTCGATTCCAGAGTCAATTAAACCAGAGATCTCAGAAGGAAAGTTGAGAGTAGAGTTGAAAGCAGAGGCCAAGTTTTCCAACACGCTGGAGACTGCCATGATTGAAGTCAGCTACAAAACCCGACCGAATCAACTTATCGCGACAATTAACTCGCGAATCATTCATGCACTGTACGATATAACACATGAACACTAAACACTTACATAGCGGCGAGAACACAGACGAAACTCTCCCGACTTGAATTCCACCGACACAAAACGAATGAACAAATTCACGAAATTGCGCGGAAAAGGAAGAAACCCGAAAGAAGTATCTCAGCGGCTGTTCACTCTCCACGAAACGCGACACAATATCCAATGAAAGTTAACGCACACCGAAAGTTCCTTCGCGAGACTTGAAAGTCGGATATTATGTTAAACACTTAAGAAACGGAGTAACGAATGAGAGCCATGAGAGGAAGTTACCGGAGGTTGAAGCATGGTGCCTCAAGGGTTGATCCGCAGGCACCACGCACGCGACCAGAATCGAACAAACACTGACCGAAAATGGCCGACGTCAGGAAGGAACCAGAGGGGGGATTGCGGACGGGGGGGAAAGAGAGGAGAGAGAGGAGCGGGTGGGAAACATGTTTCAACGTGAATCAGCTGAAGAGTAGGAGACTTTGCTACAGACAGGGTTGCAATAGTTCATGAAAATTAAAACCTTGATTCGCATGTTTGGAAATACAGCAGTTTCATGCTTCAGAAAGCAAGGTGATTCGACGGTTGCCATTTTTTGTGTCAGAGCGACGTGTGATTTATCGTATCAATTCGTTCCATAATTTCAGCTACTTGTCGTTCGACTTCGGGTTTGCGCGAAAATTGTTATTTTTTTATGCTCTTTCAAACGAGCTATCACAAAGGGGGTCTTCCCATTTGAAAATTAAAAGTTGGGGTCCGTTGTTTCCCCAAGGGGGGCCCCCTGAAAATTTTAGGAGGGCCAAAAAGTAGCTCCCTTTGACCTTGGAACATCCCCCAAGTTTCAAAACTTTAGCTCAATTAGGTAAAAAGTTAAAGAGGGGGTGGAAGGGATATTTGATGGATCGCCCGATCACCCTGTATTATCGATACCAACATTTGATCCGTCACACTATCAACAGGTTTATACGATTAGAGGCGATGCAGTCTGCAAAACCGGCTATTTTCACTGGCATTTCTAAAAAAAAGGTGTTTTTTTAGAATCGCCGGCATTTTTTTGTTAATCTCCGGCATTTTCAAAAAGTTTCCGGCATTTTGGTAAAAAACTCCGGCTTTTTTCGAAAGGGTCTCCGGCATTTCATCTGGGAACACGGGGAACACTGTCGGCGTGTTGTTTTAGGTTAAGTCTTTTTTATGGTGCCTCTTCTCTGAACAACTCTTGGAAAACTTGGTTGGAATTTCATTCGTAATTTTTTATACATTAGTTTTGTATATCCTGCACAATGGTTCGAATTCTCCAGTTGCAGAGAAATTTTGAAAAGCTCCTGAATTACACCAGCTTTATTAAAGTAAGCATGTCTGTGTTTTATCCAATTGGTTTTAAGTTCTTGGTTTAACCTCAAACAATCTCATGTGCTGCACTTGTCCATTAAATTACAATAAAAAATAAGTTTGCCCAGATTTATGCAAGTTACGTGAGTCATTTATGTCAGCCACAAGAAATACATGCGCGTCGAACGCCAGTTTACATCAATACCCTAGCATGGAGCAAGCGGGAAGGTTCACTTATTTTTCACGCCTTTGGAAGCAGGCCCCACTCCACTTAAGAAGAACTTTGCGGAACTTCTGTTAACTGAGCTAGATGTGTCTGGAAGTAAGAAGTGACACTAAGTAACGCGCATTGAATGAGTTTCACCATTGTTAACTGTCAGGTCAACTGAATTTAGTTCCTCTGCCCTCATCAGAGGGATAGAGAATGAGGACCGGCTGTTATTGCGATTCTGTATTGTAACTAAATAACCAGCACTCACTCTAATGAAGAATATAGACTGTCATGTTAGGTTCTGTCAGGGAGTAATACTTCTATATTATTGACAAGATTAGTGTCCTAAATCATTTTGAAATTGAATCCAATTTTATGGCAGGTAAGGCCCAAACTGCCATTTGCTTGCAGTGAAGAGAGGTTTAACCTTCATGTATCTGCTTGATACTTCATGGAGTTTTGGGTTTATTTTTCATTGTGGGGAAATTATTTTTATCTTGAATGCTGTAATTACATTGCCTAAATGTTGCAAACCCAATCCAGTTTTTCCCATGTTGGTATTTTTCGTTATTTCATTAATTTTTGAATGAAGTTCTTTAGTCAGTTGTAATGTTTTCAAAAGTTGATGAACTTCTAGCATGCAAACTAGGTATCTCTAGCAACTATCTATTAAAATGAAACCTATGTAGCCCCAGCTATGCTAACGTCATAATGCAATGATCTTTCAAAATTTTATAGAAAACCTGTTGGTTATATAGAGCTCTTGAGTAGTAGCTAGAAATATTTTTAACAGAGTGATAGAAATTTGTGAACTTTTTTAAAGTCTGCTTTTGAGGTATTGAAGATTTCAGCATCTTCGAGCCCTTTATTATTACCTAATTTTTCATTTCTTCTTGCAAGGAAGCTCAACACCTAAAATTTGTTTGTTCTCAGCGAGTTGGTTATGCAAGATGTTATGCTTCCCATTCAAAATTTGCTGAACATAAACCTATTGAATTGATCAGAAATATTGGGATCTCCGCACACATCGACTCAGGGAAAACAACCTTGACAGAGAGAATTTTATTCTACACCGGTAGAATTTCAGAAATGCATGAGGTATAGTATGGAATCTGGAATAAGATTTTTTTTTTTTTTTTTTTTTTAAATTAAGAACCATATTTACGAAGCTCAACTTAGCAGCCAGAAACACAAGAGTTTCATTATTGCAGTAAACTATTTGAAAGCGGATGTTGCTAGACTCCGCTTGAGATACCCATCCCATGAATTTTATGCCTACATATGCTTGCCCAACACTTTTACCCATTGCACAACAATCTCCGAAGGTCATTAGGACATTTTAGTGAAAAGCAAAGACTAAATGGTATCAGGTGAGTTTACAGCTGCAAAGCACCTATGGGGCTGTCCATAAATTACGTCACCCATTTTTTTCAATTTTCTGACCCCCCCCCCCTCCTGATTGCGTCATCCATTGCGTACTCCCTCCTCCCTTTTTGCGGGAAATTGCAGAAAATTGATAACATTGGATATAGTATGCAGTGTTTAAGAGCATGAATAATTTCTTTTGTCGAGCATTTTATTTATGTTGTGTTCTTATAAAAAGGAAAAAAAATTGAGACCGCGATATATTACTAGCTGAAAAATTATATGACGCAAACTTTATTACTTTGAGAAAAATTGGAATTATCATTGAAAAATCCACAAAAACCCCACCCTCTTTACGAGAGTGACAACCAACCACAGGCAGCATATCAGACGAGTCAAGGAGAAGATACAATCTTAGGGAAGAGGGGTAATCGCAATGCAGAATATCTAAAAAAAACTCGCTAAAATTATCCGAAAATGTCTCTTTTATAATATTTTCCTGACATTAGTATCAGATGACCGTTCATAAAATATGTAACCCTTGAGAGAGGGAAGGAGCCTGAACTTGTGTTAGAGGGGAGAGTGAGAATGCTCAGAGCTGTGTTGTATAACATTGGAATGAGGGCATAGTGCTGATTTTTTTAAAATCTAAGATGAAAATTTTTCATCCATAACTGATCATAAGTGCCCAATGGTAGGAGGGGGTTTTGAACCAAAAGTTACATTATTTTTACAGAGGGTGTATACCCATGTTACTAGTTTGTTATGAGAAGGATGGGGAAGTAAACGAATCTGGTTTTTAATACCATATTATTCTATAAGTGACCCCAGCCATAAAATCGGTGTGTTCAATTACTTTTTGGATAAGATGTGGCTCATCTAGGTATCAGTTCTTTTTTTCTTTTTAAAATCCTTAAAAGTTATTGAGTTATATTACACTTTTTGTACTAAATTAATTCAAAGAACCATAGAGAAGAATTCAGAGGTTTATTTGCTGTAAAATTCATTCAGGGTATGATTTGTGGAAATGTCAAACTAGAAACCATTATTTTTTTTGTCGTTATACTCAAGTTTAACGTCCTCATGTGTCTAAAGCACCTCCTAATTTTTAAACTTTGAACTTGCTTTTTTCAAAAGCATATATTATGTCATTTGATTCCTTCATCCATGATATCTTTTTTCATAATTAGGGCCTCGAAAATCTTTCTGTACCCAACTGTACTTTTTCAGTAATCAATCAACATTAAAAAAAATGCCAGAATAGTGAGTTATTTCAATATTCATCCATTCCTTTTTCAGGTCAAAGGAAAAGATAATGTTGGAGCTGTAATGGATTCCATGGAGCTGGAAAGACAAAGAGGAATAACAATTCAGTCAGCTGCAACCTACACTTTGTGGAAGGATCACAATATCAATATAATTGATACTCCGGGTTTGTCTTGATACTTCACTGATTCAGTATTATAACGTTTTTCTTTCTTTCTGATTTTCAAGTAGGTCAGAGGGTAAATTAATCACCCAATCCCCTATATTACACCTACTACCAGGTTATCCTTGCTTGAGATCATAAAATAGCTTGCTTGGTCGAGAATCTAAATCAGGCTCTCGCTATCATAGGACCAGCGCTACAACAATTTCACCATAAGAGGCCGACAAGTCTCTCACCTATCCTTGTTCGTTGCTAAACTAGAAATTTTTTTTTTATTGTACTACCATTAACTCGGTATCAATTTTACAACATCATACTCCTTTATTGTGAAACTCATAAACCTCATTTAACCAACAGTAATATTCTTTGTATTTATACTCCTACGTAGCTCTGATCTTCTATACTTACTCTATATTAAATACTTTTTACTCAGATTATGAATAATTTTTTTAATTGTATTTTTAGTTGCATCAGTGTTGAGCATTCAAGAATTTTAGGTTTCCTTGTAAGAAATTCCATCAAGAGAATTTCCATCTCCTTGTATATTCATCGGGTCTGAAATACAAGCAAATTCCTTCTCAATATTCCTGCATACACATTTTTTTTTTTTTTTTTATACTTTTATCTTTTTCTCTGTTGGTCTAATAAGCACCTGGGCTTTTAAGTTCGTATTCGTAATTATTTTGATGGGAATTTTCTCCCTCCCTTAATTGTAGGTGATTCAATTTTTATATGAGTACTAGCTGTTTGGAGTGGGCTTAATCTGCTCATTCTTGGAGAATTTCCTCATCTCACAAATACATTAAAAGTACTCGTCAAGGGAAAAAGTAATCGTAACACTGACTTCCTCCAGCAACGCATGAGCATACTCTAAACCCCTGTTCTACCATCTTACTACTTACAGTGTAGAAATTTAGTGTTGCTCAGGAAATAAAAGTGCCCTCAGTGAATATCATGTCTTTGCTTCGTATTCTTTTATTAAAAGTTAATTATTGATACTTTGTATTATGCAGGGCACGTAGATTTTACTGTGGAGGTTGAACGAGCTCTACGAGTCTTGGATGGTGCTATCTTAGTCTTGTGTGCTGTCGGTGGTGTGCAAAGTCAGACTTTGACAGTCAATCGTCAGATGAAGAGATACAATGTTCCATGTCTAGCATTTATTAATAAATTGGATAGATTAGGTGCAAATCCATTTCGAGTTATGAAACAGCTTAGAGAGAAATTAAATCACAACGCTGCTTTTCTGCAACTTCCCATTGGATTGGAAGGTGATACTGAAGGTATCATTGATCTCATCACACGCAAGGCACTATATTTTGAAGGACAAAATGGGTAAGTCAATCAGAATTTTTACTCAGCATGAAGTTTATAACAGACTCATGTATTATTCATAATTTTAATTGGAAGATGTGTAATTTTTTCCCCCTTCTTCTTTCTCTCTCAATAGTTAGTAATTGTGTCTAATAAATCAATAAAGTAGAAAATTATTACTTATGTTGTTTGTTGCTAAAGAAAAAAATACAAGAAAATCTGATTGAAACTTTCAAGTCATGTGTATCAAACTTCTTCCTAAACTGCGAAGGTCCTTTGTAGCTATTTTCTTAATTTTGCAGATTTTATTTGTCCGTGCCCAAGTTTTAAGTATGAACTGAATTTCGTTTTTCAGGGAAATCGTGAAAGAAGCTGAAATCCCACAAAATATGAAGGATGAAGTAGAGAAAAAAAGGCAAGAACTTATAGAAAGTGTCTCAGATGCTGATGAAATTCTTGGAGAGATATTTTTGGGTTCGTATCTTTGTTCATTTACAGAATACATATCATCCCAAGAAGAAAAGGAGAAGGTGTTTGAAATAGAATTGAGTCAGTTTGAAATTATCTTCTTCCCCATGCAGAAATGCTGTTTTCAACAGATAATAATAATTTCTACTTTACTTGTTCAAAAAGAATATCTAGATTCTGAGGATGTTTCCTGAAAATTTTAAACCCTCCATCAATTAGTGTGTGATCGAAGCAATAGAAAAATCCATGCACACTTAAGACTCCTTCGGTAACTGGGTGTATACGCACTTAGACTTTCAGGGAGAATGCATTTTCTGAATCCTCGCATTATAAGGTATCCAATAATTTATAATTTATACATGTTTTTGTGAATCTGAGATAAATAGATCAAAGAGTTAAGGAGAAATACTGATTTTGCAGTGTTCCTGTGTATAAGAGACAGTTTATCACTGTATCGTGTCGCGTATTGGACATTTCTGCATTTTTCCCATCCACACACTCACAGTTCATGAAAAGTAACCTGCATTAATTTCTCTTACTTTCTAGTGAAAATGAGAAACAAGACGTGTTTCCAACATTTCATCCTTCTTACACACCATCTAGTTGAAAAAACAACAACAATATAAGTAACAAGAAATAAATTATCTCCGCATAACAATGTTCAATCCCTGGTATAAGGACGTATAAAATGTTTTTGTAAAAGCTTCACTTCAGAATAACCTCATATGCCAGACGTCTGCAATCTTAGACACTTCTTTTCGAAGGTCCAGGGTTTTGTTTACTAAAACAACCTTAAAGTTAGGGGAAATTCCAACTGCTTCAGGAAGTATGAGCTGTCTAATACTTATCTTGCGCATTTCTCCAAACTTATTTTTGTTTCATGTCTCTTTACTGAAGAAGTCCTCAACTATGAAGGAAGCCATTTCATAAGTTACCAATACAGTAACTGAAATAGAGGGCCTAGAAGGTACCGCCATACAGTCACGTCTTGAAGTTAATTAACTCTATATTTTCTGCAGCCATTGCTGATGTTATTGATAAAAATATAACCAACCTGTAATTAAGGAACAGGATAATATAATATTGCTGGTTCCACACTATCTGTGGATTGTAATTACTCGAATGCAGTCTCTCAACCTCATTTCAGTATTTCTAAACATTGTTAATTTTTAATTGCCATTTCATGGAATAATTTCATTAATTGAATTTCAATCTTGTTCATTCTTTGGACGATTCTTTACTTCCCACCTGTTCACTGGAGTTAAATGTGATTTTTATTTTGCAGAAGAGAGAACACCAAACAACGAGGAACTTGTCGCTGGAATTAGAAGAGCTTGTCTGAAGCGAACTTTTACACCTGTTTTCGTAGGAACTGCACTGAAAAACAAAGGAGTGCAACCATTGTTAGATGGTGTCTTAACATACTTACCAAACCCTGGAGAAGTTACAAATTATGCTTTAAAAGAAACCAATCCTGGGTAAAAAGGATTTTATACTGCTTTAATTTTTTATTTACTACTTATTTTTTTTTTATTTTTTTATTGTACATATACTATTGTAACAAGGCAAAGACAGTCTATTAAACATATTTCAGCGTGTATAAAGGATTAATTAGACAGAGCACTGACTAAACTAAAAACATTTTAACACAGTTGAAAGCTAGAAAAGCAACAAAATTCACCCCATCAACACAGAAGGATGGACTGATTATAGGGTGAATAAGGCTGATAATTTAAATACTTCAAAAAAACTGAACATACAGGTCAAGTTTAACGGAAGTACACTTAGCTGCATCAAACTAGAAGCGATAAAAAGTGACTCAAAGTTTAATACCTTCTCAAGACTCCATGTTTAGGACAAAGTCTAACAAATATTCTCATTTCCAAAATATTTTTCTCTTGTGAATTTTAGACATGAGCAAAGAGCCGTATGCAAAAACGATATTTTTCGCCCCCCCACTAAAACTTATTCAAACTTCGTCTATCAGTTACTAATACTGGAGCGCTTCTTTCCCCAAATTTTCAGACCCCCAAAAAATTTTGGGGGGGCGCTAGGGGGGGTGGAAGTCAAAACCTGCGACCCTCGATATCTTTCGAACGAAACAAGATATTGAGGCCCGGTTTGGACGAAAAATAGTCTTAAATTGCATACTTTAAGATTCTAAAGGTCAAAATCCCAAAATTAAATTTTTAACTTAACTTATGTGCTTTTTTCAGTTTTTGAGGAAGAACAATTTCTTTTAAACAGATTAAACTGAAATTTCACATTTTCTGATTTGAACCAAAACCAGTTTTTTAAATTGTTCGTCTTTTTCCGCATCCAACGAGTGGTCGTATAAGCTGGGGAACCGAACGGTTCCGGAGTTATGATCGATTGAAGTTTCCGCTCAACGCGCACCGACCGATTTTTGCGCGCAAAAAAGTCGGATTTGACTGTTATCAAATCAGATTTAATGTTCAAACTGAGCAAAATGCATTATTAGGGACTCTTGAGGGTCGCTGAGTCCAGAAATTACAGATACTTCCAAAAAATTCACGTTTTTAAAATTACAGCTTCGTACAGGACCACTGAGCGGCCGGTCGGCGCTCAGTGGGCCTCTAAAATAGCGCTACGGAGCTGTAATTTTAAAAACGTGAATTTTTCGGAAGTATCTGTAATTTCTGGACTCAGCGACCCTCAAGAGTCCCTAATAATGCATTTTGCTCAGTTTGAACATTAAATCTGATTTGATAACAGTCAAATCCGACTTTTTTGCGCGCAAAAATCGGTCGGTGCGCGTTGAGCGGAAACTTCAATCGATCATAACTCCGGAACCGTTCGGTTCCCCAGCTTATACGACCACTCGTTGGATGCGGAAAAAGACGAACAATTTAAAAAACTGGTTTTGGTTCAAATCAGAAAATGTGAAATTTCAGTTTAATCTGTTTAAAAGAAATTGTTCTTCCTCAAAAACTGAAAAAAGCACATAAGTTAAGTTAAAAATTTAATTTTGGGATTTTGACCTTTAGAATCTTAAAGTATGCAATTTTAGACGATTTTTCGTCCAAACCGGGCCTCAATATCTTGTTTCGTTCGAAAGATATCGAGGGTCGCAGGTTTTGACTTCCACCCCCCCAAAATTTTTTGGGGGTCTGAAAATTTGGGGAAAGAAGCGCTCCAGTATTAGTAACTGATAGACGAAGTTTGAATAAGTTTTAGTGGGGGGGCGAAAAATGTCGTTTTTGCATACGGCTCTTTACAACTGGTCGAATTCACTTATACTTTCAACTAATTTTTTCCACCTAAATGCGACCTAGTGTGTTTTTGTTAAACTCGGTCCATTTTCATTCATCACAAGCTCATTGTATGGTTATATGGCAACAACTGAGATCTGATTGCCTCTCATATTATTATCATTAATTGTTTGTATTTTAGAAGCTCTAAGTAAGCTGCCTCAAATGCCTGAATATTTAAAAATTTTAAAATACTTAGCCTTGTATACGCAATTCTCTGTGTAGAGTATTATCTTTTACCATCCTTCCTGCTGACTGTATTGTTGCGTATCTTTGACACCCCTTCACCCAAGGGTTTGCTGACTTTTTAACTGGTAATTCCTTCAAAAACAGGAATCATTGCAACCTGTGACAATATTTGTCTAATTTTAATTGTCTTTTTATAATACAAGTATACAAGTCCTTCCACAGTTTCATGACCTGTAAGAAAATGTAGTATGTTCATGGCGAAAGTTGAAAATTGCCTATTTCCGATTGCAACATTTTAAGTCTCCACTCGTGTTTTATTTTTTAAAAGGAAAATCACCCAGCAGTTTCTATTACAATTTTTTGTGAATTTTCTTCACTCATTCTATAAACTGCTCGGAAACTTTTTGATTAGTTCTCCTTGAAGAAAATAAAATATAATTGAAGGTTTTTAATGGTTGCAAGTGACATCAGTATTTTGACAGTCAGCCATCAATGTTTTTCCCAAATGAACCATGAATGGAACCTTGGAACAAGTGTTAAGTGAAAGGCTCAGTGAAAAAAGAAGAAAAAAACTCCATTCTAATACACTTAACACTAAGTTTTTTCGCGAAACATGTTTCCGCACAAAGTGTAACCATCATGTAAGATTCATTAAGGTTCTGCAAACCACAAACATAATCTCATCTCTATTGACTACTTTTCACATTAGAAAAAGAAGTCCTGGATATTGAGGAGGAGAGAAAAGGGAAGAAGGAGTTATTATTTAAGGGAAAAATATTTGTAATTTATTTTCAGAGAATCTTCTTATTTTTTTTTAAGTCTTGAAAACTGACAATTAATAAATCCTTTAATATACTTACATCAGTGAAAAAATAATTACAACTGCAAGTTCTAAAAATACGGATTTTGCAAAATGCATTAGAAAATGGAAGTTTGAGCTGAAACACTAGAAGAAAAACATGTTTTGCTGAGCTAAAATTATGTCAATCAAGTAAGTGTAAAATTAAACCCTGCTGAATGATGCTGTAAGGCCAAAATGACTAGACAGGTCAAGTAAGTTTCTGCATCAGGATCAGTTGAACTATATTTTCCAACAAGGAACTACTTCTCCTGGCTCATTTCAGAAGCAGTCTATGTGTCATTTGATTACCCTTGCAGATAGGTGCTTTTATGAAGTAGGTAAAGCTGACAATGGCACTTTTTTTTTTTTTTTTTTTTTTTTTTTTTTTTGCAAAGTGTAGTTCAGTTTTAAGTTTACTGGAGTTGAGAGCAAGGCACTGATAAGTTTGTTGAGAGGCAATGCAACTTGCGTGTGAATTATCCAACTATGTAACCAATTGCTAACTTTTTGCTGAATTTGGTTAAAGTGTCCCCATCGAAAAATTTTAATACAAGATAACTTTTCAGGGAGGAGCCGCAAAAAGTTATCCTAAACCCTGCAAGGACAGATGAGCATCCAATGGTATCTCTAGCATTCAAACTAGAAGCGGGTAAATTTGGTCAATTAACATACTTGCGCTGCTATCAAGGATGTTTGAAGAAAGGAGACACCATCTTCAATACTCGAACAGGGAAAAAGGTATGGTTATGAGCACTCTCCTGATCAGTATTTGGAATCACAGACAGAGTTACTTATCTATGAATTAAGTGCTATTAAACTGAAGATTTTAGCTTAATTTGAATGAAGGAAATATTGAGATTGATAACAAACACATTTTCTGATAAATAGCAGAATGAGGAAAGATGCGCCAGTTGTTTTAGTCTAATTTGAAAGAAAACAACAAATAGTGTGCAATTTTGGGATTAACTATCCAGAAGCAACAAACATACCCAAAAGTAAGATATTAATTAAAGCTATCGGATTTTGTAGAGATCAATCATCATTTTGTGTTGTGGTACAAATTAAAAATCCTAGATTTTATGTTCCATATGGAAACACTTTAACAATGACTGGTCGCTGATTTGCATGAATGAATGGACCACTAGACAAGGTACAAAGTGAAGCATTCTGATACATCTTTCTTAACGAAAATTTCATGTAGAACATGATACGTGCAACGAGAATGACTGAAATTAACTCTTAACCAAAAATATAATGTTTCTTGATGCGTGAATTCAAACCTCCCGCTCTTGAAAATGCAATGGTCTACGTGAGTCAAATCGCACACTAAACATTACTATGGCAGTCTCTGCAATACAAAAATATGACAGCCTCAATCTTGACACTTTGGCTCAGCTATATCATATTGTTTACACTTTAAACAATAAAGGATGGGAAAGGATCAATGCTTGTTTGAGAAGCCTGCCAAAACCGTTGTAAGACACGATTTGACTCAATTGCGTTTCTTATGACTGGGTACGTCAAATTGCCTGTAACCACTGTAAAGTAAAATTGTTAGTATCTTAGTTAGAAGTTGATTTCAGAAATTTTCGAGCAATGCTTGTATTCTTGGTGAACTTCTGCTTAAGAAACATGTATCAGAATGCTTAAATTCGTACCGTGTCTAGTGGTCCATTGCCCGTTTACATTATGTTTGAAGGTACAAGACCTTTTGTACCCAAATTTTAAAGCACATATCTGTATTTCTTACCTAAAAAATTTAATATACTCTTAATTTTTTCCGAGTCATCTATTTTTGGTTCTTTGTTTATTTTAGATTCGAATTTCTCGTGTGGTACGACTGCATTCAAATGAGATGGAAGAGGTTGAGGAAGTTTATGCCGGAGATATTTTTGCTTTGTTTGGTGTTGACTGTGCTAGTGGAGACACTTTTGTTACTGATAGGAAGCTAGAATTATCTATGGTTAGTTGAAATGCAACCTTTGAATCTTTTTTCTACTTATGATTCAATCTAACCTATCTCTGTTTTACCAAGTGTTTTCAGTTCTGTTTAGAAACATATGACATCGCTAGCGGATTGTATTTTTTTGTGCTACCTCTTCTTAAAGCTTCTTTTGTAGGAAGTCTCATCCTGCTTAGTATAGTCAAATTGCCTATTCGAATTTTCTCAAATTTTGAGAATTTTTTCAAGATTTGCTTGCAATCATATTTTTTTCTGAACAGTAAGTTTTTTACAGACTCCATGGACCAATTCATTCTCCCAATTTCTCATGTTTTCCAGAATGCGCAATAGAAAGGGCGTAAAAAGTTCCCAAAAGTTGTGTTCCGGTGGCTGATTTTGTTGCTCCTCTTGAGCAGTCTCTTACGCTGCTTTATCCCTCCCTCTCTCCTATTGGCATACGGAGCCTTACTGCACAGGCAGAGGCTCCATGATTATGGGGTCTGGGGTTTGCTTCCCTAGTCGGACACTTACTTTTTATTTTCTGCATGATCATGTCACATTTTATTTTTAATTCTACACGTACTTTTTATTTCCTGCATGATAACATTTTATATTTAATTCTACACTTACTTTTTATTTTCTGCATGATCACGTAACATTTTCTTTTTAATTCTTCATTGTTTTTTATAAGTCAAACAGTTCCAATAACTCTTCCCCCCCCTCCCTTCTTATTTTAAGTACATTTTTCCCCTGATGTTTTCTCAAATAAACTGATTAATACCAATGAAGAATTAAAAAGAAAATTTTACGAGATCATGCAGGTAATACGAAGTAAGTGTAGAATTAAAAATAAAATGTGGTGTGATCATGCAGAAAATAAAAAACAAGTGTCCATCCCGGGGCGCGATCTCAGACCCCATAATCATGGAGCCACTGCCTGTGCAGTAGGTCGATGGGAAAGAGGGAGTGAATGAGTGATAAAGCGGTATAGGAGACTGCTCAAGTGGAGCCATGCGCCGCACATCAATATCAGCTGCCGAAGACTCAACTTTTGGGACTTTTTTATGCCCTTCCTATTGCGCTTGTGGGATAACGGAAGAAATTTGGTAAATAAATTGATCCACAGAGTCTGTAAAAAAAATTCAGCCCAATAGGAAGCGGCAGGTCCGTACATTCTACTTTTGAGTTATGTTTATTTTGACGTTTCTTTTGATTTGGAAAAAAAGATCAGGGAAAATCGTGGAAAATCAGAGAGACGGAAAATACAAGGGTCAGGGAAAACCCAGGAAAGTCAGGAAGGAAGACAGAAACTTTTGCTCGACACCCTGCCACACATACGTGAATATATTGATGGTGAAACTTCCCAACCACGTATCTGGGTTTGTGACGTCCCAGACCTCCTGTCATACTTTATTTTCAAAATGGAGAACCACTCAAGTCAATTTTTTAAAACTTTCATGATTTTATTTCTCTGTGCAAAGCAAATTCTGAAAAAATTTCCTTTGATTTGTGTTCCTTATAACAAGTAAATTAGGAGTGGACATTTTTAAACACTGCAGACAGTTTGGGAGTTTCACCGTTTGGTTTGCTGAATGAAATTGGGAATATACAGTTTTTTAGCATAATTTATTCATTGTTCTGGGTTTCTAGGAATCAATATATGTGCCTGATCCTGTGATCTCTCTCTCCATTGCACCAGTCAACTCGAAGGACAGGGATCAATTCAGTAAAGCAATTGGCCGTTTTACCAAAGAAGATCCAACTTTCCGCTTTTGGTATGATCCAGATAATCAAGAAACCCTCGTCTCAGGAATGGGTGAACTACATCTCGAAATCTATGCCCAGGTTTGCATTTGTATATTGCTTCCAATATTTTATTTTCTCATTGTTGTTTCATTTTCTGCTGCAAGGAGATAAGTCTTTGGAAAAATTTCTCAGGTCATGATGATCTTCGAGATCTTTTGACTTCGTTAGCAGTAACAATGGACCACTGGACAAGGTACGAATTTAAATATTCTGATACATGTTTCTTGACCAGAATTTCACTTAGAACACGATTCACACAACGAAAAACCAACTCCTAACGAAGATATTAATGTTTTTATTTCACATTGGTTACACACAGGAATTTGAACTGCCCGCTCACAAGAAACTCGAACCTCTACGTGAGTCAAATTGCGCACTACACCGGTTTCAGCAAGCTTCTCAATCAAGCAATGTTCATTTCCCACCATGTGTTGTTCAAACTTTTAGCAATTTGCTATAGCTGAGCCAAAGCGTCAAGATTGAGGTTGCCAGATTTTTATATCGCAGAGGCTGTCATAATAATGTTTAGTGCGCGATGTGAATCACGTAGAGCATTGAGTTTTCATGAGCGGGTGGTTTGAATTCACGCACCAAGAATTATTGAATATCTTTGTAAGGAGTTGATTTCGGTAATTTTCGTTGTGTGCATCGTGTTCTATGTAAAATTTTGGTTAAGAAGTATGTCGGTGCCGGACACGGGAGCTGTCAGCAATAGATTTCGGGTGCAGATTGCAAAACGACGGTGGTGGCGCGACTGCGGCTTGCACAGGAGTTAGGGCGCTCCGCGAGAATATATGAACAATACCTATATGAAGCGTGTGGCTCATTTTAGAACTTTGACTTTTAGAAGTTTTTAGAAGTTTTCTTGTCCGGACTGCGGGCCGAACGCTGCCTTTTTTTAACGGTATATTACAGAGAAGTGCAGGTAAAGGGGAATTGTGTCGATATGAAAGAAGGAACAGTGGACTGATTAAACGGAATAACTGGTCAAACAGTGGTTGCCCATTTTTGAGAGTGATTCTTTTCGCTCTAAATGTTTTTACTTTTTTCTTTAGGTCTTGTCTCCACGGGCTGTTTCACAAGATTTGTCCCAGGGATAAATCCCACTTCCGAAGTGGGGAAAAATATTGAGTTAATCAGTATTTTTCCCAGTACCAAGTATGGTACTTGTACCCCTAGGACCCACTGAGAGGAGAAGACGAAGTGAAACGAATTGTGCGATATTTTATTCATTACTCCATTGTTAATGTTTGTTTAGTTAAAATAATGTGTATAATTGTCAATTGAGTGCAATTATTATTTTAATCCCGGTTAAATTCTCGACTTTATCTAATTTATCTTCCCGCGCAAACTAGTCGCAGGACTGTACGAGCCCCGTCCCGTGGAGCCGGTAACTGGGAAAAATCCCAGAAGTTTCATTCCTGCGATTCGAACTTGGGACAAATCCTATGAAAACGTCCCGTGGAGACAAGGCCTTACCTTTCTCCTCTTGTATTTTAATCCCCGTAAGTTGAGAAAATGACAATTCTATTTCNCCCCCCCCCCCCGGATGACGTCATGGCGTCATCCTTTGACGACGTCTTGATAATGCCATTTTGAGGTCACATTCAGGGTACCAGTTGATGGTGTCGTTACAACACAAACCATAATTCAAGTATATACATTTATTGCTAATTAGTTATTGCTGAGTCAATATTTTCTAAATTTCTAATTTTTAATAAATTTTCCGCTTAATATATAATACCTACTTTAGCATGTACAGCATCAACTTGTTTTGAATCCCCCGCCACCTCTTTTTAAAAGTCAGAGATTTTTTAGAATCTTGTCCATCTGTATTACAGGTCGTCAATTTTTACAGCCCACAAGTTGTTTGTTAGTTCCTTAGATATCCGATTCAATTTAGAGATTCAATTCTTCAATCCCGCAGCATGGATAAATATATACTACGCATGTATTTACGTATACTACGTAGTATATATTTATCCATGCCCACGGGCGCGGCCAAAGTTTGTTTACATCATCCGAGCGCCCTAACTCCTGTGCAATCCGCAGTTGCGCCACCCGTCGTTTTGCAATCTGCACTGCACCCGAAATCTATTGCTGACAGCTCCCGTGTCCGGCACCGATCAGAATGCTGGAATTCGTACCTTGTCTAGTGGTCCATTTGCAGAAAATTTTAATAAAGGTGCAAATGCTTAAGTCTTGAGTATAATCAAGTGTAGCTCCAAGAAATCATTTCTCCGCTGTAAGTACTCTCGTCAGTAGTAAGGAAAAGGTCGGGTGAGTCAAAGTCTACAATGAATCATATTTGTTTAATTTCGCATCGCTAACCTCACTAAAGGGCACTAAATTTGCATCATCAACCCAGCAATCAAAGACTTAGAACTTCTTAGATAACAGCAATGTTCAAAAAGGTACCCTTCCTATTGTAGCATGGAAAACATTTATATCCTGTGTAATAATGAAGTTTTGCCCTTTTTTTGGCTTTCAGAGAATGGAAAGAGAATACAAATGTCCTGTGGTTCTAGGAAAACCCAAGGTAGCATTCAGAGAGACTCTTGCATCACCGATCGAATTTGACTACTTGCACAAGAAACAGTCAGGTGGTCATGGAGAGTATGGTCGAGTGATTGGCATATTGGAGCCACTCCCTCCACATTTATACACCAAAGTAGAGTTCATTGATTCAACATCAGGACCAAATGTACCAAAACAGTTCATCCCTGGAATAAAGCGAGGTTTCCAGTTATCTTTGGAAAAAGGTTGTCTCACTGGTAATAAAGTATCTGGATTACGATTTACATTACAGGATGGAGACCACCACATAGTTGATTCTAGCGAACATGCCTTCTGTCTTGCCACTCAAGGAGCAATGAAAGAAGGTAAGCAAATTCTTTCATAACCAACATGTTGATTTCATCACCATAACGGTGAACCATGGCAAAAATAGGGACAAAGTTGGTCATTAGCACTGTTTTCTTCCAGCAGACACACAAATTCACTCTCAATTTACTTTTCTTTGCCAACAGCTGCAGCAAATGAGCAAATAGAGGCACAGGGGGGTGGAACATCATAACCCAAAACGCAATATAGCGAATTGCCTAGTAAAATATAGCGAATTGCCTAGTAAAAGTAATGTGAAGAATAATTTAATCTTAGCGCAGTAGAGAGCATGACTTTAAGTTTGACAGACCCTGTCCCAGTTCGAGAAGTGGCTGTCCTTTTGGAATCAGGAACTTTCACTTACATACATTATTCAGCTGCTTTCGTTTTTCTTGTTGACATTCTTTCATTAAAATATTTCTCCGTGTAAAAAGTAGTTTTTGATCATCATTTTCCAAAATCATAAAGCCTTGAAAATCTGTTAAAGAAATACTTTTTAATCCAGCTGGTCATTCCCGAATCACATAATGCTTAATTTGCAGTCCCCCTTCCTCCCTCCCTCTGCCTGTATCGCTCTGTAATTTTGAGAAAAACTCCCCCCCCCCCCCCCAAAAAAAAAATTGTAATGCTGATCAAGATCCCATCTCCCTGTCCTTCTAAAGATACTAGCCACTAGTGTTGGGACATGGAATCGGGATTTGCTTGAACCGGAATCCAAATCTGTGAATCCCCTGAAATTTCAAAATTCGCGCCTTGAAGTCGAATCCTGAAGATTTCCGAAGGTTCTCGTCAAATATCGACATTGTCTCTCCATCTCATCGATCTCAAATTTTGACTCACTCCAAAATGGTCTCAAACAGTAAATATTGGTATAAATCCTCGCTGCGTCTAGGTATAGCTGTCAATATTTGTTTACTTGCGTAATAATAAATAAAAAAAAGTACTGAGTTTCTGAAAGAAGAAGGGCTTGCAATGGATTGGGATTTGAGGATTCAAAAGTTAAAATTTGAGATTCGGATTTAGGTAAATTTAGGATTCAACCCAACACTACCAGCCACTATGTGGGAAATGTGCAATGCCTGTCATTCTCCATCTAGTGTCTTCCTGGGATGAGGAATCTTGCAGGTAACATTCCTTCGTGTCCAAGGGTGATAAAACTTCTGCCATCTTAGTCCATGGTGTTCAGAACGGGAAAAATCGGGATTCATCAGGGAATGAAAATTTACAGGGAAAATCAGGGAATCTGTTCCAGAGACGGGGAATCTCTCCTTCTACCGCTTAGGGATCATTTCGTTTTCAAATTTGGCAGTCTAATCCGACTGAACGCTATAATTGACTTCTTGAATGACACCTGAAACTTCAAATCATCGAAAGAGTGGAAAAGCTTTCATTGACTAGGTAATATAAACATCAGGAACACTATTGGAATTAAAATTTTGAATGAGCGCCGAAGAAATGGCTGAAGGATGAATTAAAATTGATATTCCTAAATGGAACTTTGGAGAGTTCTATTCTTTTCCCCCAGAAAATCCTGGGGAAGTTGGAGAAAACACCAGTTTCTTGTCAAGGAATGAGCCAGGTCAAAAATTTTAGACACCATATCCTAGTTTCCTTGTGACTGAAACCTTTTTTCGAGTTCATATAAAAACCTCTAAAAACAACAATTAGGAAATACTCGGGAAACCTAAGAATAATAAATTAAATACAGAACATGATGCCCCGGACAGAACATGCATTTATATGCTGTTATCTCTCTGTAATGTCAACACACTCAAGCTTTCCTTTCAGCGTTTCATAATTAATTAAAGGATGAAACCGAAGATAACTCATTTTAAATCTTACATCAACTCATCCTTTTCAGTGATGCAACCATCCATACAAGTTGTAGAATTTGCTGGGGGTATAAAATTGAAGTTACACACTTAGTATAAAAAATATCTCTTTAAACAGTCAGATCCAGCTCTGAAATGGCTTCTCAGAAATAATTGCAATGAGAAAGCTTTCTAATCAAAGACACAGTATTGGGATCCCTTAAACATCCAGTGAATTTGTAATTGAATCTAATTGAATTTGTCTTTTACAGCTTTTCGAGATGGACATTGGCAAATTATAGAACCCATCATGTATGTGGAAGTAACGGTCCCCAGTGAACATTTCGGCTCAGTAATGGGTCAGATAACCAAACGACACGGGCTTGTCTTAGGAACTGAGAGCTCGGAAGGATGGTCCACGCTCTACGCAGAGGTATGTTGTCCTCTATGAAATATACAATTGATCTTACTTTTGGTTCTACACATATTGAATTCATATATTGTATCTGGTCTTTGTAGATAGTGACCAAGGCGGAAAGGACGCTGCACACTCCTTTTGGGTAAGTGCACAATGATCAATTTTTAATTTTTTCACTGCATTCATTCATCTCAAGATGCTGATCAAAAATGATCATTGCGCCAACTTTCTACAATGCACCGCTTTCACACAATACGCCTGGATTGCTTCAATTATTTGACGCTAAAGAGTCAAACATAACGAAGCATTCAAGAACAGGTCTGATGTAAGTAAGAAAAAACGTAGCGAGTGTCTGTCTCCTTATCTATTCCTGCCTACTCTGAGGCTGTCTCCCTCCCGCTCTCGTCTGTTTGACATTTACTGTTTTTCTCCGACTTTCCTGTTCTAACGCTCCTCACAAATCTGATTTGGATGGTCAAGCCAAAAGGCGTGCAGAATCCAAGATAAGACTGCCGAGCGGCAGTCCCGGCGGTGCTGGAGTTCCCCTGATTTCCTTGTCCGACCGTTCACTCGAGTGCTGAAATGAGGAATCTTTCTGACTCTTTATTGCCGAATAATTGAAGCATTCCGGGTGTTTTGTGCGAAAACGGTGCATTGTGGAAAGTTGGCGCAATGTTGACTTTTTATCAGCATCTTGAGATGAGTTGAACGCAATAAAAAAATTAAAAATTGTGGTGCACTTTTCCATCAGGAATGTACAGGGTCCTTTGCCAACACTCCTTATTTGCAGTCCTCTCCCCAGGAAAGAGTCCATTAAGTCTAATTGTTTTGAAGGAAGGCTAACACTCAAACAGATGGTGAAATCGTGAGAAGACGTGAGTGGGTCGTTTCAAAACTTCTGCTCAATTTTTAATTTTCTGAGAAGATTTTATCCTTGATGTTGGTTTAAATTTTCAGAGAAAATTCTTTAAAGGACACAGAGAAATCACTTGAATTTAGTGCGACAGTCGACAGTGATAATGAGCTTTCTCTGAAAAAACAAATGGTGTCAAAATATCTGCTACTCTGGAAACAAAGATACGTTGTTCAGGTTCTCAGATGGTTAGCCCCCAAATTAGAATTAGCTCTCATTATGATTTATGTAGTTGCTTGTTACAAACATGCAGTTAAAACTGCATTTGAAAAGGCTCTTTTTTCATGAGTACAAATGCAGTTTTTTGGGAAGTGTCAAAAAAGGAAAATGCTTAAAAAGGAATTACTGCAGGCTGTTCTTTTGTAATATTTTTAAAAGATTACAGAACATATCGGTTAAAACGACTCATTCCATCTGATCAAGTGGATATAAAAGTAATGGGCTCTTAAAGATCATTTGCACCTTGCACTCTTTTCTGTATTATTTCTACTGGATTACAAGTATCAATTTATTTCAGATTTTAAGGATTATCATTTTAATAATATATGCCTGAGAAACATTGTTATTTTTAAGTTGAAGAGGATAAGTACCTGTATGAACAACGAATATCATTAAAATGGACAAGTATAATGTTGCGCAATTTTTGAAATATCTTAAATTCCTTCAAACTCGTTTTCAATTGGAAAATTGCACTTTGTGAGTCACAACTCGTTTTCTGAGGATGCTAACCAGTAGCCTGTCAAGCAACTGTGCAATTAAAAATAAAGGTGAAGGAATTTTTGAGTTTTCAAAAATCACTTTACTATTTACTTAATTGTTCATTGTATCATCATTATCTTAGCCGAGAGTGCTGGGTTACACCAAAAGGCCATCATGATTCTAGTCAGCATGAAAGCCTTTTCAGATTCCTATCTCACACACACACACACACCCTCCCCCTCATATATATATTAGGTTATACTATATGGTTAACTCATAGGGGGTTATCAGTTGATTTACTAATCTTTTCTTTACATATTGCCGGTGTGTCTTCAATCTTAGGTTCAGTTGATTTTATTGTTACTATTTTTAATATGCGGGTTCTTGGCATAAACTTTGAATACTTAGGGTTGTTTGTTTGGTCAGTATTAATTACTGTGTTTTTATTATTTTGATTTCACTTCCTGTTCTTGCGGGGGCTATTACAATGTTATTAATAAACCGATATATGTATATTTTTTTATGCAGGTACCTTTAAATGAAATGTTTGGCTATGCCACAGAGGTAAGATCTACAACTCAAGGCAAAGGTGAGTTCGCAATGGAATTTTCAAAGTATGCACCTTGCTTGCCAGCCTTGCAACAAGAACTTATCACTAAATATGAAGAAAGTTTAGGAATTGGACCCTCAAGCAAAGAAAAAGAGAAAGAGAAAAGGAAGGCTAAATACTCAACTAGATCTGACTAACTCTCGCCGTCAAGCATCTCCCTTGAAACATGAGTTTAAGGAGCAGTATTGTTCATGTGGTTACCATTCCTTTAAATATGCTCCCTTTGTTGTTATTTATAATTGTGTAAATATTTTTTGAACAATATTTTACCCAGTGATTTCTCATCAATAGAAATTCTGTATATTTTGTATGAAACAATATTAAATGTTAAGTCTCTTTTCTATAAATGAACTAGTTGGCGCATATACATAGTATTCCGCCTTTGTGATCGTTTCGACCCCCCACTCGATACAATAACCGAGTCCCATAGTTCCTTACCGGAAAGTGACTGCTGGAACTTCTGAGATTTTCCAAAGCGTGTAAAAAGTTTACTAATCCGTCAATAATTATGATTTAAAGTTTTTTCTCATTCTGGGGCTTTCTAGTTTATGTACAATGAATACCAAGAGTCTACGTTACTTGGTTTTTTTAAAGAAAACCTTAGAATGCTCCGCGCTAATTTAAAATATGCATATATAAGCAGAAGCAAACGAACTGATTCGAGGATTGCTGAGCAGATCAGCACTCAACCCTCAACCCAAACCCTTGCCCGATTATTTACGCTTGATTAACCATTTCACCGTCACGCTAGGATTCGTCCAATTTTCGAAAAAATTGTTTTGCGTGTACTTAGCAATTTTTTCCTTACTCTGCGTTAAAAGACGAATTAAAAGGGGTCTCATTCGTAAAAATCGGCCGAATAGAAGAGAAGTTACAGTATTTGAAATCCGAAGAAATCAACGAAACTTCTCCATACCTACAAAAAATAAAATGAAGGGAAAAAAAGAAATGTATAAATTACAATTAAATATAATTGACCTCAGAATTTGACAAGCAATTCAATTATATAATGGAGAAAATATTGGGAGAAATTACAAAAAATTCGCCTCTTGCAAGGGGCTTCCTTGTAAGAATTTTAACCTGAAGACAAGGGTTGAATAGCAGCCTGCAGTACTCCATACAATACACGGTGTGCCTGAACAAACATTTTTTTTTTCTTTTTGTCAAAATCGAAAATTCTTTATATTTTTTAACTACAATGTCTCTTGAGTCGTTTAAGCCAAAAAAAAATTCCGTCAAGATTCTGGAAAGTAAAGGCGCTTTAAAAGTATTCTGGGGCTATAATAGCTAAATCACCGGTAGTAAATCCCGTTATATTATTAAAACGAAATTGACTCCATAGTCTAATGCCTTAGTTTCTTGAATACGATTATTTTAAGCACTCAAACATTTATACCACCAATTTTAGCCATTGGGTGATTTCCTGAGAGCCGATAATATCACGAATTTCTCATACAACCTTTCAAAAATGGCTTGCTTTTTGGGCAGCCGATTCGGTCGTCGAACCAGGATTTAAATGGAAGCTGATAATAACTCAAAGCTGTGAGAAAAATTTTGAGATGAGTATAGGAACGGTTTGTAAATAACGAGGAGAGGCGGGCAAAGCGGCTAAAATCCGATCTAATTTTTGCTGTTATTCTGTTGAACTGATGTTGCCGCGGACTGCTAACTGTGTCCACACATGGTTTCTGCTTAGCATATCCATATGTAAGTATTTTTACACGTAGAATCTAATTTTCACGTCAGGGAGTCGACACCTTTCGATTTTTTCGCTTTTATACGGAAAATTGATAGTTTTTCGGGATTAAAATTATTATTGTTTCATGAAAAATAAATGCACCCAAAATGACTATAGAATATTGATTTTTATATATTTGCACTCACGAAATTAGTTGACAAATTCAACAAGTGGGTGCATCGACCTGGTATATCAAGTTTCTGCAATTTTTTACGGCAAATCGGTAGATTTTCGGGATGTAGATTGCTTACTTTCAATTCATGAATGAATAAAGCATGGACATGGTCGAACTTCTTTGCATGGAAATACGTTTAAAATAACAAAATCAAGACATACTTAATGCAATTGCATTTTATATAATATATCGAGTCAATTTCTTTTCAATAACATAACTGAATTTATCATACCAGTGATTTGGATATCTTAGCCCCAAAATAACTTTAAATCGACTTTCTCTTTCAGGAGTTGAACAGAATTTTTCCTTTCTTCGCTTAAATTATTACGTAACACTTTTCTCTAAGAATCTGATAAGATTTTGCTGGAGGCAGATCAAAAAACTTAAACTCGTCCGAATGGCTTCCTACATTCACAATACACGGTCTCGTCAAAGTGCGTCATTGAAGTGTTGGATCGTATGAATTCTCTTGTTGTGCTACTTGCCTATTTTGATATCTCTGTAAATGAAAACTAAAGGGGTTGATATGTGCGAGTTAATGACGCGCCTTATCAACACATGAAAAAATCAAACACTAAGAAGTGGCCCGAACTGTATGTAACAAGGTGGAGAAATGGTGCTGGGTCCACACCATTTCGCGGGGAAACAAAGCCAAGAAATACCAAAAATTAAAATTAGAGTCAAAAATAAATTTTTAGAACTCTAATGCGCACCAGTGTCTCGGGTTCACTGCCGAGTGTGATCTGCTGATGAGGTCTAATAAGGCCCAAACCAGTATAGATCTCTCGGCGTGACTCCAACTTAATATTCCATTGCAAACTGCCTGAGCTGAACACTCTCCCCCCTCAGTTTCGTACTGGTGTGCATTAGAGTTCTAAAAATTTATTTTTGACTCTAATTTTAATTTTTGGTATTTCTTGGCTTTGTTTCCCCACGAAATGGTGTGGACCCAGCACCATTTCTCCACCTTCTTATCAACACATTGTGTTGGAGTTCAATCTCATCTTTGCTCACATAAGAAAGGATTATTTTGTATAAGTGCACTGATGGTATATGCAAAAGTTGATATCACACATTAATTTAAGATGAAGATGTATGGAATGAGAACCTATCAATTTCTATGCCATGTTCTTAATGGAACTTAATGTACCTAGTTTGCCTCCACTGGTAACAGTAAAAAAGTTATGGATGTTATGCACAGTGTTCAGAATTTTTTTTCAGATACCTACTTAAAAGACCTTTTTAAAGGGTATTCCTTTTTACTGTAGAAAATGTGGTTCATTTGAACTGCCTGGGGAGGTTAAATAATAAATTTCAAGATTCACAGTAACAACTAAAGTTTTCTGGTAATTTCAATCTACCCAAATATTATTGGGTTGTTGGGCTTTACTCTACGACTTAATTAGCAGGAGAGCTGAATGGACCACAAACCGTGCAGGCGAGCCCGATGGAGTTTCTCCGTATATATCCAGTTAGGCAGCAGCCACTGCCTTTAATTTTTTTTTTTTTTGGGGGGGGGGGTCGTCAAAATTCTGCAAGAAAATTTGGTAAAATAAGTTACAAATTGACCTAAATTCGTTTTAAAATACAAATTTGGATTCCTAATTGGGAAACACAGGTGCATCGAAACGGCGGGAAATAAGCATGCTGGTTGTGATGTAGCCGACCAATGAGAGGCCTCCGTTGGAACTTTGAACTTTATTTAACTTCTGCAGCTTTAATATCAAACTAAGAGTGTTATTAACCACACTAACCATTTTTTCGTGAAAATTTACATGAAAGTGGCTCATTACTCTCAAAAACAAAATCCCTCCCGAGTGCAACAGGCCCATTCTTGGAGGATAGGTGACTTGCCCGGATGTGGCTACCGCCACTCATAGTTTCCAGACTCCTATTTTTTCTGATAAGTTTTTAAATGATTTACTTGAATGGAGCGTAGAAGAAATTGTTTCTCTCCTAGATGAGTTGCAAAATTTTCCCAGTTATTATTAAAAAATAACTTACTTTAATAAATGGAAAAAGAAGAAAAAACCATGCATAGATAATTTCATGACATGTGTGAATAAAAAGAGAAATGGCAAGAACCCAATTAGCGAAAGTTGCATCGGATTTATTCGAATTTCATTGATATATCTGACATGCCGACTGGATGCTACAATACACAATCGAAAAAAAAAAACTTAAAACGTTTATTAAAACGTTTATTGAAAATCATCAGGAAATGAAGTTGCAATGCATCCTGCTTTCAGTAGCTCAAGCAACTACACTACACAGTATTTTTACAAGAAAATTAGTGGTAGCCTAAATTACTGAACAAGGAGACGAAAATAATGAGAGCTGCTACATGTTTTTGTCGAAGGAAGAACAATTAAGAAATAAACACCGATAAGTTTTTTAACTTTTATTTATTTAGTTTATTTTTTTATTTCTTTAAAAAAACCTTCATTTTTAACAACAATTGAAAAATCACGAGAGCTCATGACAAAAATACATGCAAAGAACAGACATTCTCTGCAGTTTAAAGAAAATATAATAAAACAAGCAGCTAGTAATATACAGCATGCTACTCAGTGATCTGAAAAAAAGAAAGATAGAAACAAAAAATTAGTACTTTTTATCTTTTCTTTTCTTCAAATTAAAGAAAAAAATCCTTACAACTTATTCAGGTGCATTCAAACTCAGCAAGATTTAAGGCGTGAAACCCCCCTTCATTAGGGTAGAGCGCTTTTTCAAGAGATCATCTAATTGAATGGAGAATTTGCAAACGGCAGGGATTCCTAAATCCTTTATTGGTTCCGATAAGAATTTTTGTGAAAAGAATGATTGTGGCCTCGAAAAATATGGTTAGGGCCTCCTAAGTTCTTCAAAAGCTTAGGAAAAAAGTAAGTTTTTTAACTTCAAACTCTCTCCGAATTGATGGACCTCATAGAAACAATTTTTCACACCCATAACGCGAACTTTCCCATTTTTCAAGGAAAGAAAAGAAGAAAATTGGAAACAGATCATCAGCAGCTGAAGAAAAAACCCTCCACTTTAATATATAATTTAATCAGATTTTTACAGTCATAAAATTCGCTGTGAGTTTCCGCTTTACATTCACTGAGGTAAAACTCACTTCCAAAATTGGTTACACCCGTAAAGTACCCTTTTAATTTTTTCTGAGGAATGGAACAAAGTAAAAACAATGTCTGATAAACTATAATGATCTATAAAAAAAGTTCTTTTTGCTGGAGCAAATTCTTTTTTAATTAAACCCCAAGGAAGTGTCCAAATTCTTGTTTAAAGTTAAATTGTTGTCACACCCGGAACAGTGGAATGACCCTTTAGTTAGATTCTTTTCGCTCATAATAGGTGATATGATTCCAGAAGGATATACAATATGGGGTTTATACCATAAGCTGAAACAGCTTCTGGAGTATCTGCTTGCCCCCTCGATTCAAAAAGACAAAAACAGGAAACCAGGTTTCCGGTTTGTTGGAACTGTACATCGGCGAATTAAACACAACCTATCATGATCCGTCTGGCGAATCTTTGAAAAATAAATTCCATCATCTAACCCATTATCCCAATTTCCTGAGAAAATTTGGTACTTGCGTGAATTTGTGGGTCTTTAGGTTTGACGGGAAACACAGAATTAGTAAGAATAATGCAAATGTCGTTGCTGGTAGGGTAAACCCAAAGTACACGCTAGTTGTGAATAGTCAATTAAATTTCCAGACTTCTATTTTTTCTGATAAGTTTTTGAATGAGTTATTTGAATGGGGCTCAGAAGACATTGTTTCTCTCCCAGATGAGTTGCAAAATTTTCCCAATTATTTAGTAAAAAATAACTGACTTATCACAGAAGGTTTATAAGTTTCCTGGATAAAATGTTATACGGCACTAGGTATTCATCCGAGATGGTTCTTATTTATGATATAGCTGAAAATTTGCCTTGTTTTGCAGAAATTGTTGATATTTACGTATGTGGTAAATATAAAAACTGTCTTGTTTCAATGCACCAAATTGGAAATAATAGATATCAATGAGCATTATGATTGCTTCAGAGTAAAAAAAAACTGAGAACTTAGCTCTCATCAATCAAGAGAATCTTATTGACCCCATTCGACCTCACGTAGGTAATGCTTTAAATTTGCCATTTGTAACCATTAGACACGTGGTGTAGTTTATTTTCTTACAAGTAATTGAAGGGCCTCCTGAAAATGATAAAAGAATCGATTTTCCTTGTTTTGAAGGAAGTACCTATCACCTCTAGCCCAATAACATAAGCACTGACTTGTACACAAATAATCTATAGATGTATTTCCCAAGCATTTATTTACTTATTTTTAGAAGAGGGGGCAGTATTTCCATACCCAACTCAATTTTTATGTTGTTTGTTCCTAACCTGAGACTGTTAATTTTAAGTTGTTTGACCAATGTACTATTTTTAAAGCCTTTTCTTCTTTGAAGTGAACATTTTACCTGTGTCTCAATCATCCAAGTACACGCGTATTTGTACAAAAATAATATTTGAAAGTTTTCCCCAAAAGTAACTTTTTCTTTCATTTAATTCACTCCCTCAGCATCCCTGAATGTTTGCAGAAAATTGTAATTGTATTTTTACTTTCTCGCTCCCCTAGGGTAGAGAGGAAGTATTGTCAGCCTCCAAGAAAAAAAAAAAAAAAAAAAAGTTGAAATTTCATCATTTTACTTTGTTACATGATGGGTTTTCGTTAAACTCTGTTGAGATAATGACAGTGTCCAAGGTGGTTTCAGGCCGAGCCTCAATCATTACACATAAATCGAAAATTTATCTCAGTAGTTGATAACAGCCGGATTTTCTGAGTAAAATGAAGGGGGTGGGTTGACCTAAGTAAACCTGACGTAATTTCTAATTTGTGGTGGTTTGCATGCTGCCTGACATGTACCTATCAATAGGGGGNGGGGGGGGGGGGGGGGGATAGAATGACAGAAATTACTCTATGGAGGGGGCCAACAAATTGAATGAAAAAATATGAAATTGTTTATGCGCGGCTCCAAAGTATTTATATCGGTTCATTTTTTATTTAAAATTTAAGAAAATATTAATTTGATGACTTGACGTCAATCTGGAATTAAAAAATGACTCAGGTTCGAGATAATTAGGTAATTAATTCATATTTAACAGTAGTTAGGGCCGTCTTACTTGTCTGGCCCGCTTTCGCTCAGCAATACCGCATTACCGCGGCTCCCCTCCAGCACTCAATACCTGGTTGGGTACATAGAGAAAAAAAAGGAGGTGTTTGCATTTCGGGCATCTTGGAATTTTTCATAGAGTATCTATAGCTTTGATGACGTCATTGGGTACAGCGACGTTTTTATCCTGTCGATTTTCTTGGAAATGGTGTAATTTAAGGGAAAAAGTCATTCTATAAAAAGTGCTTGAAATTAAATTAAGAGTTGATTTAAGTAAAAAAATCGGACATTATGGTCCGTTTTTACAGCGTCAACATAACCCTCAACGAGCGTCTTGTTTACATTGATGACGTAGGTGGGTACAAATCCTCAAGATGCAAACACCTCCTTTTTTTTCTCTATGGGTTGGGTACGTTTCCCGCCAGATTCGGACCAAGTTTGAACTCCAAATGCCCATTTCATATTTTCGCGGGTAATTCGCGCCAAGTAGTCCGCCTCGAAAAAGTGACCATACGCGATCTTACGGGAGAATCTGCCAGTTACCTTACTGGTAGCTATTATTCTATGGATTCCATGGACAGTGTACCTTGCTCTAGTAGTCCGGTGGTGCGCCACGCAGCCATCTTGCCTGCTCGGTCATTCGAGGGGGTCTTTGCCTGCAAAAAGTAAACACCGAATTTCATGCGGAAGGAATGAAGGATGTAGTATTGATAATTTGAAGTGAAATTTCGTTTTCTAGATTTCAATTACACTATCCCGATTATTGTGATCAATCCGTGCTGTGCTGTGCGATTTCTCGTGAAGATTGAAGTGCGAGCTTGTTCTGTGCAACAAGTGTCCGCGGAGTGCCGTCGAGAATAAGTTTTTCGTTGAAAAGTCTCTCGAAAGTCGTCTCGTCGCGTATATTTTCCTGCGATGATAGCGGAGTTAAAATTTAGTAGTGCTGGTGCGCGACGTCGTTAGTGATAATGGAATTGTGACGTTCATTTTTTATGGATACTGGAATAGTTTCGAAAGGAAATACCTATGGTGATCTCTGTTGGATTTGATGAAAAAAAACATGTGGAGCCAAGAATGAGCCTCGATGTTGATAGTTTGGTGAGTTGCTTTCAACAGCTATCCATTTGCCTCTTTGCAGTAATCTTCTGCTCATTTTCTGAGGTTTTTTGTTCTTATTTGAAGATGTATATTTCATTGGAGGTAACCCACTTATCAGAATCGTTGGAGCTGAAGTATATTGAAGGTATTTTCTCTCACTCAACCATAGCACAGAATATTCCAAGTTATTTATTCTTACTCGTTTTTTATACCTTTGACTACTGAGCTTCAGTATCTATTTGAAGAGAGATTGGAGGATCTATGAATTGATAAGAGTAGCGACCTGTCATGAAGTTTTTTCTGGGCTATGATCAGCTCTACTTCAGACACTTCTGAACCCAAGTATCTCACCTCATCTTCATTTGCATCAGTCCTGAGGTTTTCTTGTCCAAGAACTTTGACCAATTTGTGTTGTAAGCAGTAACCAGAGGTTTCTTTCTGTTTTTTGATTAATATTTCAATTTCGCTCTCTCAAGGGAGGTTAAACTTTCTGTGAAAAGGCCACTCAACTGTTTCAGGTTGGACTGTCTTACTCTTACATATCGATGGTGTAAGTCGGCAATCGCATAACTCGATTTTTGGCGGTTTTGAGCTAGCTGCAGAAATGAAGTGTAGTAGATGCCCTTTACCTGCTATCAATATATTTCAGTCGAAAAAAATCTGGAAGTCACCTAAAAATGTAGAACTCAAATCACACATCTCAGCCTTAATTCCAATAACACATTACTCGTGCCGTCGCGCCGCATTTTTACACAATGCGGCTTCTCCCGGGAAGAATCAAGAACAGTTTAGGAGGGAAACTTAAAAGTTAGTACGTCACGGAATCTTCAAACAACAAAAACATTGTTACCTATTGTTTTAACATTTAACATCTAATCCATCGGATAACTGAGTTATCATCCGCTTATTTTCATCTTCATTTAATTTTAATGCGTAATTTGACAGAATAAGCCTGCAATCACATAATTATCTCGTTTGCGGTGTCTGAAAATCTCCGCCTCTATGTTATTTTTTTTAAAAGAGAACCAATTGACATCATTCCTTGAAGTTTATACAGAATTTTCATCGCACAGAAAAAAAAAATCATGGCAGTCTTAAAGGATTGCCGTCGAGTAGTTTTCCGTTTAAAAAATAAAGTATGACAGGAAGTCTGCGACGTCGTAAACCGAGTTATGTGATTGCCGACTTACGCCGTTGACTTGATTTCCGGTGTCATTCCAAAGATTCGCTGCCAAATAAAGTTTGTTACAAGAAACTTTAGGCTACTTTTAAAGTGAGAGGATTCTTAAAGTGCCTGTCAAAACTCAGACACCCAGTCATGCCTCCTTTAGTAGAAAAAATGGACCGGAGTCACTTTGTTTTCATGGGCGGTATGACAGTCGCTGTTAAATGAAAGGGGAGTAAACTTTTGGTATCAGTGATTCAGTGATGCATATAAGGGTACTTGAAGGCGTTTGATCACTTAAGAACGCCAGTGAAGAAGATTTAATCGAAAATAATACTTTTGGAGATGTCGGTTCCTTTTCCATCCTTTTAATTGTGTACTGCAGTACAACCATGAGATCTGAGTTTCTTCATTGCATCCAATAATCCATATTATTTGCAACGCAGGATAATCCATCCATGTTGTGGGATTAACTGAATCTTTTTAAGAGGCAAATTAGAACAACCAATCCTTTTAAACTCTATATTGAGTGTTTCTTCAGTCAAAATCGGCAAAGAAGAGGTTTGAAACAGTAATTTGCCATCCACGTAGGTATCTCGGAATTCAGTGTTGGACCTTAGTTCCACAAACACGTAACTCGGTTTTTCGGTCATTTCTCCTGACAGACGAGAATATGATTCAAAATGATGATAGATTCTTATAAAACATATTATCCTTGCTGTCTTCAAGAATTATTTCCCCTCTACCTTCAAAGATGAGGAATGTAGAGAGTTTTTTCCCTCTCCTGAGAAATCGCGTTTTCCGAGTTATGTGATTGCCGACTTACACCGTCGATATGTACCTTCACGATTTTCATCATTTAAAATATTTAATTTTCTGTAATCATGTGAAATATGAACGGAACTTGTGTCAGATAAGTTGGTAGTATGCTACTTTTGCTTGTCATGCGCTACAGATCTATTTATGTACCCGTGCATGTTGACAGCATCGCTTGCTGTCAATCCTCAATCACTATTGGACCACTGCAATGTAGTCACTTGCTAACGTTACCAATTGCCAACTTATCTAACATGAACTCTAGTCGCAGAAGGGAGCATTCGTCATTTTGATTGTGACTTGTCGGGTTTCTCATCGCACTTAGGGGCCATCCTTAAATCACGTAAGGCACATAGAGAGGGAGGAGGGGTCTCTAACAGCCTTATGGTGCCTTACAAGGGGGAGGGGGGATAAGGCTGAGCCTTACGTAAGCGATCCAGCTTATATTTAAAGAAACTGCAAAAATCCATTTTTCATCTGGTTGATAATAAAATTCAAGATGAAACAGAGGAAATCAGCACATCACCGATTCCGGACCGATCGGATCCTGCTCCTTTCATTTCTCTCAATTCCTACTTTTCCACTCTGTGGGATGATGAGCAGTGACTTCATCCTTATGTCAACCTCATACTTTTAACTATTCGAAAGGCAAAACAAATTTTCAATTTTTCTCCATGTATTTCTGTTTATTAAACTAATTGTATGATTAATATTTCCTATGAACTTCCTTCAAAAATTTTAGCCTAAAAGTTTCCTTCTTTTTCTAAAAGAAATCGTATAATGCTAAGATCTGCGGTAAGTAATTGAAAAAGAGGGGGGGGGGGGTCGGTAGAGCCTTACATAATTTTTAGAGGGGGATGAAGGGATGCCTTACGGGGGGGATGGGGTCTTAAAATGGGAGAAAGTGCATTACGTAATTTATTGATGGCTCCTTACTTATACCGAAATCAGCAAAGCAGCTGTGCTGTATGTACCACTATTTAACTAGTGGCATACTTACCTCCAACTTCCTATAATAAAATTACATCAGAGAGAGTATTGAAATTGGTTCTATCCGGAGTTGCACTCATAAGTACCTATTAGTGCCAACGGATACATTGTCCATGACCCTTTTTAGCACAATATAAAGTACCAGGAAGACAATTTATTCTTATTTTTCTCATTACTTACCTACTTGGGTCATAATTTTTGTGGTTTTGAACTTACCCACTTACCTATGTCTCATTTTGGAAACCTTGCTTCATAGAGTGGAAGAAATGAAGCTGAGAGGCAAACTCTCACTAAATATAATTTTTTTCCTCCTATGGTTTGTTTGGCTGCTAGGTATCCCTTAAAATTTTCAGGGCTGGGCTTCTTCACACAAAAAACCGCTTAAGCGTAATTCAATTTATATTATTTGTTTAAATTCCTTTGTGATTTTTATTTATTAATCTTTGCATTAATTCTTGAATTAATCATATGAATACCTCGATGTAAGTACAGGTACAGAAATTTTTAATCTAACTTTTTCTATGCATCGATTTCAAAGTAGTAACCGTGAAGTTGATATTCAGGGAAAAATAAATAATACAAGGTACCTGAAGTCTGAGCGCCAACACAAACAAGTGCCATAACTGAGGGTGTTACCACTGTTCGGCCTTGTCGGAGCTCGTGTTGCCTACACTGAAAACTGATGGCAAACTGACAATGAGCTAAAGTAAGATCCACGGCGTTTTTTAAGGTTTTCTCTGGTGTCGAATAATTTCCCACTTAATTCTCGATTTTTCAGGTTGCTTGACACCCTCGTATTTTTTTTTTATTTTTGACAGAAAATATATTTTGCGGGTGAAGATTTTTAAAAATCAGTCAGGCGGACCCCAGAACTCTGAATTTTTAAGGGTATTCCATACCCATCAGCTTCCCTGTGTGAGGAACCGTCCGATCCCTTAAAAGTGGATGCAATCCGGGCCTTTTTCCACTAATTTGACTTGTCCGGCCCAGGAGGGACTTAACTGCATTGTAACGCGAGGAAGCTTCACCCGACAACTTATTTCTTTACTCACTCATTGCAAATGTATTCATGAAAGGTTTTGAGGAATTGTCAAATGTCGAACAAAAGTCACAAAAAATCTCAGAAAACAATTTGATACCTTCATAGAGTAAGGAAATCATTTTCATATGAATATTTACAACGTTTTAGTGCAGTAATGCCCCTCTGCCTCTGAATGTTTCATGTTATCAGAATTGGAGCAGTTTAAGTTTTGTTAAATGCCTTGTCCACAAGCGCAGAGTTCCCGGAACTGAGGCGGAATAAGTTACAGTTGATTAGGAGCTTTAACTTATTCATGTGTGCACAGAAAAGGGGCGAATAACGATGCACAGCTAAAAGTCCCAGGAATGGAGATGTTGCACGTGTGAGGAATTTGCGATTTGACTGTTGATTCTTATGTAAAAGTTCGCGAGAAACACGATGGTGCCACTGGTTTTCTCTGAAATCAACTACCAAGCTCACAAAAAGCTCTCAAGTTGAGGCCAAAATAGAAGGGATATCCCACGCTATCCTGAGAGTCCACGTCTAGGTACATCAAGACAAACTTTCCATGCAGAGATAGGGAGCATTTAGCCATCATCAGCAGGGTTGCCGTGTTTTCAGTTTTAGAGTCCCCAAATGAAGTGGCAACCCTGTCAATGTATTTGCTGCCTATCTTGGCATGGAGAGTTTGTCTTGATGTAGAGGTGGACTCCCAGGATAGCGTGGTATATCCCCTCCATATTGGCCTCAACTTAAGAGATTTTTTTGAGCTTGGGAGTTGATTCCAGAGAAAACCAGTGGCACCATCGTGTTTCTCGCGAACTTTTACATAAGAATCAACAGTCAAATCGCAAATTCCTCACACATGCAACATCTCCATTCGTTAAGAATACTTAACGCAACGATTGCGCGTGAAGTTCGGTCCAGGGTTTCTGGTTGGCCGGCGCACAGTAAAGTGAGTCAATCAGAGAGGTCGGACATGACATTTTTGTCTTTAGGTAACTGCACATTTTGATGTTTATTTCGTCACATTTTAAACTACAAGGGGTGCTCCTGGAAGAAAATTTTACGAGGAAACCAATGGAACCACTTTTAGAACCTCAACGTTTTGTATAAACGGAGTGATAAGCGTTTATAGTTTCCAAATTTTGTCCGGCCTCTCCTATTGACTCGATCCACTCTGCGGCGGTGTAGTTTCAGCTAATCTATAGATGCTGTATCTGCATTCATGCTAAAGTGCCAACAAAATTCGGTCCCTGACGCTCCTACCAAAGTTTTGATACTCTTGGACATTCATCGAGGTATGCATGGGCCACGCTCTATGGCACAAGGTGTAGTTCGCCCGCTTTCCTAAGACTAGGCAAAATCACTGCCTCGGCGTCGGAAAAGTCGCATCTGCACTTCTGGAGATATCAACTAGCATGCATCCCACCCAATTTACGGTAGGGCGCTGAAGTTCTTTTATTGGGAGTGACAGTTTATTTAATACATAGACTTTACGCGGGTATTTAGTCAGCTATTCAGTGTAATGTCCCATTCCTACACCCGAAAAGTATCTGTACCCGAGTGATCCAGCAGTTTTATCTCATTCTTCCGTACCTACCTATTCCACTTTGATGAAATGTTGATATCTATCTTATTTTCATGGTTATAGAGTTCAGACTCATCTCCTCTAGGCAATTATTTCTCAAACAAGCAAGCATTTCGCGCGTCACTAGAATGGGGGTGTAGACAGTTTTTTAAACATTTTATCCGTCTTATCAATATAATTAATAATTCCGAAGGACTATAATTAAAGTAATCTGTCTCCCTTAATACTTTACTTTCTTTTTCGAGTGGCTATCGCAATTTCGGCAGTCGTCTAACAGAAGGGCCAATCCGTCGGCATTGCTTTATTGTGCTATCGAGCGAACGGTTTTGTTTACAGTCTGAAGTGTGTTCATTTGCTCGGAAGGTGTTGACATAAGTCGGCAAATACCAGATTTATGTGTCACAGTAAGGCTAATTATGGCTCATTACCCACCATCCGTTGTAAAAATGATTTATGAATGAAAGTGTTGAGATAATTGAACGATGATTTTTATGTCTCCTTTGCGAGACAAGTCCTCCCTTTCTTCGCAATAAGTTTTTCAAAGCTTTTAGACTGCAACAGAAGAACTGCCAACTTGATTCTTGAATTTACTTTGCATGTAAGAAAGACGGCATACGATCCTCTGTTCTGTCGCAGTCTGTAAGCGCATCAACTCATTTGGCAAGGACTCTATTTCCCTCGGAAGAAAGAAGAAGCAATTCGCCCGATCGACTTTTTTTTTTCGCCAGCGAGAAGTTTGAATTTGCTAATTCCAGCATAAGTAACATATTACCTTCAAGATGGTAACTGATAGCTGCTGATTTGATTTTGTGCGTCTTAAAAATGTCCATAGAGTTTTTCGATAAAAGTAGTGATACCACGTATTCGTGTATGTATTGTGATGTCTTTAATTTAATTACATTCTTATGCAGACAAGTGGTTCTCTGCAACTACCAATCGGTTTAATTATCTTAAAAAATCGGGCGTGTTTAGTTTTTAACCGAAAGTTCTGCTCGATACTCCAACTCATCGGAGGTGCGATTCTTCAGAGAAGCAAACCCACTCTTAGATACGAAACTCTTAAATCATCGAATGAGTTTTTTTTACACTCAGGTCGTCTGTTCCTCCCGGAGCTCTCATGAAGGAATGAATATCAACCGGCTGCCGCTGCCCCTCAAAATTAAAGTGTTCGTTTGTGAAGGAGATGACGTAAGCACAACCAGTCTTCGAGAGGTGATGGATGATGGAAAAGCGAAGGTACACGCTGTAAAATGTTGTGTTTATCAAAGTGTAAAACGAAAGGGAAAGGGTTCGAGTGTTGCACTGACCTACGCGCGGTTGTCATGTACTTTCATTATTTAATTTGAAAAACACATTTAAGTGTTGGTGCGCCTACCTGCTTTTATATGTAAGATAGACCCAAGTACATATGTAAGTTATTGTTTATATTTGCATGCCTCCGAGGTTTATGCGCTTGTATTCGAGTTGCGTTACGTTTCTATTCAGCTGAGTAACGGTTCATTACGAAACTTCAGGTATTCGTAACAACAACGGATGTTTCATTGGAACATCCGTCGTTTTTACACGCAGCGCTTAAAAGTAGATACGTAACGGAATATTGTGGCGTCGGCTGTTTGTGCTGTGCTGCGCTGTGTGGGGAACGGATGCAATTAGAAAAACGGATCCTTCGCGAATTTCTCCTTTTTGCCAATTTGCCAAATCCAAGTATAGAATTAAAATATTTGAATTTTACGGCATGAAACTAGGTACAAGTACATTTTTCGTTTATGTCCGACCAGGAATATTCTCACGTGCACTAAGTAATAATCAAGACTAAGTGGAGTTTCAGTTTATTTTGAAGATTTCAAACATTCTGTCTTTTGCAAGCTTTATTAATTTTCCTATTTAGCATTTTACGGGGAGGATGAGGGGGAATTCCAAGCACCGAAGCAACATGTAAAATCATCGATGTTACAACATCGTATTTTTGAATTTGAAGAATGTCATACTGGAATGCAAGCCTCCGTTTGATTAGACTGAACTATATATCTGCAGTTATGATAAAATGCAAGTATTGTATCTTGCATACAACGAATTTTTTTTTTCTTTTTTAAAAAGCCTTAAATGTGAAAAATACGGAATGTCTCATAATGACACTTTTCAATAAAATAACGCTTAGAAAACTACTCAAAATAAACCAATGAGTATTGGCGATACAATGAGTGCAAGGAAGGGTACTAAAACATTAAGACGGTTTAACGTTCGCTCGGCATTCCGACGTTGAACCTCCGTGAAAACTTCGAATTTTTCATTTTCAGCGTGAATGTGAAAAGTTCTTTCGAAATTACAAACAGTTATTGCTCGAAGTTAACGTGGCTTTCACAATGCTCGGTACGTGAGCACTCTATGATGAGGGACATCATCTGTGTTCCTCCAGTTCCTCCGGGCAACACGTCCCTAAGCCCATAGAACTTTGAAGGATCTAAAATTCTTCTTGGTTAATGTAAAAATTGTCCAATCGTGAGTCGAGCAAATAGGATCTATGCACGTAGGCATCTTGTAATTTCGAAGAGACAAGAGACACGCACCTACCGTAAAATTTGGATGTTCTGTCACCAAAAAAACATTTTAAGTATTTCTGTTTGCTCCTAGCGTTGTTCAATTTGTGGGGAACCAACAACACCGCAACCAGGTGGAAACCGGTCGTGATCACTTTAGACCCCGAGAACGCATCTTTAGCTCGGCCCGTATCGTATTTCACGGGTCGGATCGAATCCTCTCAATCCCAATACGTCCATTAATGACCGCCCGGGCTTATTTTGGGCGTTTTGATCGTGGTTTAACAACCCCCTCACTCATACTGCCCTGCTAAAGAAGAACGCTGTATGAACTGTTGGGAGTTGCCACATTTCCCTTGATAAAACCTGTATTTTTGACAAAATTTATGCATATTTTTCCTTGAAATTTTCAGATATTTGAAATTAAATTGTGTACAAAATTGTCAGAAAATTTGAGAGGATAATATTCAAAATGGACCACTAGACAAGGTACGAATTTAAGCAATCTGATACATGTTTCTTAACCAGAATTTCACGTAGAACACGATTCACACTACGAAAATTTCCAAAATCAACTTCTAACGAAGATATTAACGTTTTTATTTCGCATTGATTACGAGGAATTTGAACTGTCCGCTCACAAGAAACTCAAAGCTCTACGTGAGTCAAATCGCGCACTACAACGGTTTCAGCAAGCTTCTCAATCGAGCGATGTTCATTTTCCACCATGTATTGTTCAAACTATTAGTAAAATGCTATAGCTGAGCCAAAGTGTCAAGATTGAAGTTGAAGATTTTTACATCGCAGAGACTGTCATGATAAACATTTAGCGCGCGATGTGAATCACGTAGAGCATTGAGTTTTTATGAGCGGGTGGTTTGAATTCACGCATCAAGAATCATTAAATATC